CCCGCCCGCCGCAGGCGCGGCTGCGGCTCAAAAATGTGATGTGATTTTTACTAGTCCTCGTTTTTCTGCCACTCTACTTGTAGAACATTTTTTTTTCCATTTTCCGCTCCGTTTTGTTTCGGGCAACTACACTGTAGTACTTTTGTTATTCTTCCCTCTACGGCAGCAACAACGAGAACGACCGAGAAGAACAAAAAAGACGTCACAAACGAGCAAAAGAAAACAGAACAGAAATCACAAAAATGAAGAAAAAAAAGAACAGAAGGAACGAACGAAACCTGGTTGTCCCGCAAACGGCGGACGGCCGGGACACAACATGTACAAGAAATACCACCGCCTGACAAAGCGACGGCGCGCTCGCGCAGACGTCCCATCATTACACCACCGTCATCGTCCCCCACTCAGCCGTCCACCCCGACAACCTTGCGAGGCACAACGTTCTGTGTTCGCTCATGTCCCCCCGCATGCGGAAGCGCCTTGCCGTTCTAGCGGCGGCAGCAGCACTAGTGGTTCCATCTCGTTCGTTCTGCTGCAGATAGATAGGCCCGGCGTGGGCAGGGAATGCGCGCAAGCACACGCGCACGCCGATCAAAACAACAGCCGTTTTTCCCTCGATCAAGCCAGCGCTCTCTGCGCCGCGGTGAACCCGGTAAAGATGGCCCCGTTCACCGGCATGGCCCGCGTGATGGACGGCGTGAAGCCCTTGTAGAACGCCGCGCCCCCCTCCGCCATGGTCTTCTTGAAGCAGTCCACCAGCCCGGAGTACAGTCTCTTGGACGGGTCCACGTGGTCACCCTGGGTGTAACGATAAAAAAACGCGCACGCCGCCGCCCCGCCGCCGATCAAGTTTTCGTTTGAGGAATGGGATAAACGCGTGGGGATTATATCAAGCACAAGGGCTAAGGTTAGGGTTAGCGGGTTAGAGCCAGGCTTCGTGATAGGGTTGGACCGGCCCACATGGTGGTCATCCTGGTGCCAGAACAAAGACCGATTCACGTCGAGGGTTGGGTTCACACGGCAACTGGTAGGGTTAGCCCCTCAGCGATAGGGTCTCGGCCTGGGTCACGTGGTTGCCCTAGTAGAAAGTACTCGCTGGGGGCGGGGGGTGGGGGGGTGAACGAGCATTGAGAACATTTGCCCTGCGAAAATTCGACAGCCCGCTCTTCGTCGCTCTCGTTACATGAGCCACCGCAGAGCCGAGAGGGCACACGTAATCAACGGCGTGCGAAGGCCTGCCTTCTTACTTGGGGAACCCATGGCTAGAAATATACTTGTCAACAAGGGCGGGGGGGGGGGCTACGCCTTGCAGTAGGGGGAAGGGGGGACGAGATACCCCCTTTCTCTCTCCCGTGTTCCCTTGCTTCGTTGCCAGCGAAACCACGAGGACCCCAAAAAGCTAACCCATCGACGGCGAACCACCGCAAAACAAAACACGCGTGCCTCCTCCCGACGCCCACCTGCATCCGAGTCTTGAGGGTCTCTAGGGGGTACCACACACCCCAGAACCCGGCCCCGGCCGCTGCGCCCCCGGCGAAGCAGGTCGGGAGCGAAGGCTGCTCTCCTGGCTTGGTGAAGGCCTGCTTGGTTCCCTGTTGAGACAACAAACGACAACGACAACGGCAAAGTCAATCCAGTCCGGTCATGTCCGTTTAGTCCTGGATACCAGAGGTCGAGAAGTTGCAAATACACCGAAGGACAGCGCAAGCTCGCCAGCACAGGGGAAGGATAAGAACAACACGCTCCTGAGCACGCGAAAACGGCCTGTCGGCTGTCTGCGACCATCTCTCTCTAGCTGGAACGGGAAAAAACAAACGGCCGCAAAAATATATAAACAACACATGCCTTTTTACCTTCTCGAAGAAGTGCACTGCGAAGACGGGAACCAACGTCCAAGTAGAACAACAAAACAACTCCACGCAATGCTTTTTTAAACTTGGAAGTTTACATCAACGGACAAATAGCATGCGACCGAAAACGCCGTATGTCTTGTTTATCTCCTCAAATCCCCAAATATACCCCATTGTTGAGGAGCGCACCACATGCTTCCGTATTCTTCACCCTCTTGTCACCGTAATATATCGCCCGTTCTTGAGGAGAGACTTGGGACGAACCTACCTCAAAGCAGAAGAAGTACGCGCCGAAGCAAGGGATGTTCCTGAGGAGGACGGCGGAGAAGCCCTGGTACGCCCCCTTGATGCCGTAGGACTTGAAGATCTTCCTGCCACAGTCGAACACCCCGTCGTACTCGCCCTTGCCCACCTGCAACACACCACCGGGAAACGGTTCGCAAGAAGAGAAATAGTGAAAAAACAGCAGTGTCCTCGACTGATGTGGTCCGCTTTCGTATGTAGAGGTAATCAAGCTTGCTCTCGTCTACAGGTAGGTGGGAAAAAGCAACACCGTCGACACACACACACACAGATGTACAACAACGATTTTATGGCCTCGACTGATGCTGCTGCCCGGACTGATACGTAAATTTCCCGTGTCCCTGTAGGTATGGACACACACACTACGTCGAAGTGAAGCATTCGACGAGGCGCCCCGGGGGACTTCGTTGACTGCCGAGAGAAAGCACCCTAGTACGTACACGAAACACCCGATAAAAAACGCCACCAAAGATGAACCGCACAAGGGGCTCTGTCGGCACGGATTTTTTTCTCGTTCGCACATCTGGGAGACACAAACGACGACAACAACAGCAACAATAACAACAACGACACCAGCAGCAGCAGCAGCAGCAGCAACACAACCACCGCCGCCAACAATCACAACTGCAACAACAATGGCAGCGGCAGTAGCAGCAGCAGCAACGACGACGACACCGCCGTACCTGTGCCTGAAGCTTGATCTTGAACAGATCCACTGGCGCCTCCACCACCGAAATAGGGATAGCCGCCAGAGATCCGGCAGCGTAGTACTGAGGGATCGTCAGCTCCTTCCCGCCACCGACAATCTGGAAGGCGAAAATGGAGCAAGAAACGCTAGGTT